TAAAATGCTTTAAAGTAGAACTATGGCCTCCCATTAAAAATAATGTTCTGCAGTATTTACTTATGCATCTGCACGTACAGTTTTCTGTTAGTCCCCTGCAAAACTCCACAAATACCTGTTGTTTCTGCCAGTGAAGTCGATCTAATGCAGCTCTTCCTGTGACGGTGTGGCAACAATGCTACACTGCTCCTGAGTTTAAAGCAGAGTTGCCATTCTAATATGTAGGCTGTGCCTGCTTTCACTACAGTAGGATGAAAAATGTTAAAGGGGCGTGGCTATCAGCATTGTCACTGCAGATTCACAAGCCTGCAGCTTGTCAATCACACCCAGTCCTACCTACTGCTTTCTGGATTGGAAGAACTGCCTCTATTTCTGAGTCCCTCCCACTCTGCGCTGCAGCGTCTGGGAGGGGGAGCATGTGAGACACAAATGAAGGAGAACTTGGTTCATTGAGGGAAGGTAAATTCTTTTTTTGGGTACTTGGCTTGTGCATCACACAGTAACTGGGTTTAGTACTTGTTCAGACTGCCATACTAGAGCCATTAGTTGTACTTTAAGAAAGAAATTCCTTCCTGTCTCACCTGTTGTTTGAAAAGTTTGAACATCGAAAATTGTTGTAGTTACTTTCACTGATATTTCACTGTAATTTTGTAACTATTTCATTTTTTCAATAAAAAAACTTGAATAAAAAAAGAAAGGAATTACTAGCCCACTCCATAGCATAGCAGAGCTTAGTTACTATATTAATGTAAGTTTTTCATATTTTTTTACTTTGGAGAAGGCGGTGCACTTAAAATCTCAGTGCAGACTACACTAAGCAATGTATATAACAAAATATACATATTACAATATATTTATATATATATATATACCGTATTTGCCGGCGTATAAGGCAACTGGGTGTATAAGACGACCCCCCTAATTTTCCACTTAAAACATAGGTTTTGGGCTATACTCGTCATATAAGACTACCCCACTTCCGAGGCAACACCATTTAAAAA